CTTTTAGGTTGTGGTAAGGCAGAACATCATGGTGGGGAGTATGTGGTAAATAGAGCTGCTCACCTCATGACGACCAGGAAAGAGACAGAAACAGATAGAAAGGGGCTTGGTACAAAGTATATCTTCTCATGGCATGACCTCAGTGACCTACTTCCTCCAAATAGGCTCCAGCTCCCACTTTGTAACACTTCCCAAAATAACACCACTAACTGGGGACCAAACATTCCACGCATGAGCCTTTAGGGGACATATCATATTCAAACCATAACAAGTACAGTGTAATGGAAGCCAAGAGCAAGACAAGCTTAAGTGTGACTGACCATCAGTGTCAAATGTTGCAGAACACATAAATGATTGGATAAGAAGTTGTTGAGATAAGTAGTAGCCAAAGGATTGGTGGTATGGTAATAAATGTTTGACAGTTGGCTGAGGGTATGCTTTTGAAGATTTCCATAGTATAAATATTTCCGTCATGGACAATTTCAAGCTACCTACATGTCATTAAATGCTGAGTTAGAAAAGGTATGTTTAAATTTGTTTAAATTAGTAGTTTGCCAGTATATATATTATAATTTAGTAAGAAAAAGAAAATCTCATAGAAAAATGAGCAGTAATATGAACAGGCAGGTCACAGGGAAATCTGCAAATGCTTGATAAACATGCAAAGATGTTCACCTTATTAGTAACCAGGGATATACAAATTAAATTAAAAAAAAATACAAAAAAATCTGTTTTTTATCCCTTATATAATAATTTCCAATGTCCAATAATACCAAATTAGGTGAGGATAGAGAACATTGATAGCTTTCCACCATTGGTAGAAGCGTAGGGTTTTTTAAAATCTAGAATTGTTTGTAATAAAAGTTACAGAGCTCCAGTGGCTCACTCCTGTAATCCTAGTTACTCAGGAGGCAGAAATCAGGAGGATCACTGTCCCAAGCCAGCCCAGGCAAATAGTTAGAAAAACCCTTCACAAATATAGGCTGGTGGAGTGGCTGAAGGTGAAGGCCTGAGTTCAAGCCCCAGTACTGCCAAAAAAAAAGTTACACAGCAGTCTATCCACTGTGGTATAATTTGTGGTAGTGCTAAAAAGGAACCTAGTCTTGTCCATAATTTTTAAATGTGTGCATTATTCATGTGATCTGAGCCTTGTTTTTAATATTCTTACAAAGAAAGGAACTAAGGAAGCAAGTTAAAGAATGGGAAAGGATACAGTCCAGAGTAGGGGTAGAATTTGATAAAGAGAGAAATCATCTTACAATAAAAAATGAAGCTAAGTATAGAAATTGTAATACATGAGAAAAAAATTGCAGGCTATCACCACAAGTCAGGGTAGAAGGGAAGGAACTTATAGATGATGATATTCATAAAGATCAAGAGACCACTTTGCTTAAATATCTGAGATTTAGACAAAAAGATAATATTCAAGTATAATGGGAAATGCTTGTAGGCCTTTTTTTTTTAATGAAACCTTTTTGAGTCAATGCCTTAAAGTGACAGTATTTTTCTTCCAATCTGTCGAAGACAAATATTGGAATTGAATTTGGCCAACTTGACAGCACTTCTGATAATTAGCTGTTATAGAGATGATAATCCCCAAAGAAGGCAAGATGGCAGGGTGTAGATTAGACTATAAAGTAGCAATCATACCCAGCCAGCTGATAAAACTGATGGTTAGTGTTTTTCTGTTATCTCCCATACCAGTTACTTCTCAGAAGACAGCTCTGAAAATCTTAGTTTGTTACTCAGAATTTTAAAATTAAAAAGACATTTAGTGTTTCGATTTCAAATACTAATATTTCAAACATTAATGTCCTATTGGATGTAGTGGCACACACCTGTGATCCCAGCATTATAATCCTATCGCATTTGAGGCCAGTCTGGTTATATAGTGAGGCCCTGTCTCAAAAAATGAACATCTAAATCTCTCTCTGTCTCTCTCTTCCCCCTCCCCCCACACATCCCTCCCTACCTCCCCTTGCAGTGCTTGGGCTGGAACTCAAGGCCTTGTGCGTGCTAGGCAATCACTGTTAACCCTGAATTACATACCTAGGCTTACATCTGCTTTTCTTATTTTTTTTTTATTAAGTGGAACTAAAACATTATGACTGAGATTTTAGTTCAGAAATGTGGAATTACAATTTTGCCTAGTTTAGTACAATTTTAATCAGTTAATTCTTTTTTAACTTGGTCGTTCTAAAAATCACTGAAGAATAAGACAAGGCAGGCAACTCTGTTAAAAGGTATAGGCAAATAGACCCAAAAAAATGTGACACAGGTTACTTCAGAGGCACTTGCACACCCATGTTTATTGCAGCACTATCCACAATAGCCAAGTTATGGAAACAGCCAAGATGCCCCACTACAGACGAATGGATTAAGAAAATGTGGTATGTATACACAAAGGAATTCTACTCAGCCATGAAGAAGAATGAAATCTTATCATTCTCAAGTAAATGGATGGAACTGGAGAACATCATCCTGAGCGAGGTTAGCCAGGGTCAGGAGACCACTAATCAAATGTTTTCCCTCATATGTGGACTTTAGATCAAGGGCAAATACAGCAAGGGGATTGGACTTTGGTCACATGATAAGGCGAGAGCACACAGGGAGATATGAGGATAGGTAAGAAATTCAAAAAAAAAATGATAGTATTTGATGTCCTCAATGCAAAGGAACTAATGCAGAAACTTCAAAGTGACAGAGGCCAAGAGGAGAAGGGGACCAGGAACTAGAGAAAAGGTCAGTTCGAGAAGAATCAACTTAGAATGTAATACATATGTACATGAAAGCAATTTGAGTAATCTTGTATAGCTATCCTTATTTCAACTAGCAAAAACCCTTTGTCCTTCTTATTATTGTTTATACTCTCTCTTCAACAAAATTAGAGGTAAGGGCAAAACAGTTTCTGCCTGGAAGCGAGGGGGTAGGGAGGGGGCGTTGGGAGAGGGTAGGGGAGAGAAATGACCCAAACGTTGTATGCACATATGAATAAACAAAAAAAAATGTATAGGCAAGCACATAATAAGTTTCAGGAATGGCAAACATTGCATCTTCTCTCAAGTTATTGCTAAAAAATGCCGTTAAAATAAATCTTTTTAAAGTTCAGCCCTTAATAATAGTATTCCTCATTTCTTCAAAACAGTGGTTTTCTACCAAGTAAGTCCAGCCTTAAAGTTTCAGAATAAAAAAATAGCAAACGAAAGCATGCATATTTCCTGCTTCCATTGCACAAATATTTCTTACAAGGCAAATTTAGTTTAAAAGCACTACTTCTAAAACTCTTTGTTACTTGTGTTCCATCATCTAAGCACAATAATACAGAGACAAAATTTTTAAGTAAGAGTTAAAATAAGTTTTGCATAGACTGTAAACTGTAGATTAGCCAAGTACATGGTTTTGTCTCTTACTACTGATAGTTCATGAACAGATCCAGTGAAAGGAAGTAGTGTCATGATAACATTAACCACTGTTACTTGAGACCATGCTCAGGATACTTAACTCTCTAAAACTGCAACTTTCAATACTATTTAATACAATTTGCTATTTCAAGGAAATAGCGATTCTGTGATCAAAACAATTTGCAGTCCTCTCACAATAGAATTTGAAAAGTAGGCTTGAACTGAACAGTTTCTAGGAGTATAATCTCTGGACTACCAATGTAGAACATTGATAGAATTATTAAAATAACAGTCTTGGTCATTGTATGAGAAACAGTTCGTTCATATCCATATAAAGCTGAATTGGCTTTGGGGCAAAGGATATGGTGGGTGGTAACATTTTTGTTTCCCTGTCATCAAAACATACTTATTATTTGGGTCAAGAGACTGTACATATATCTAATTTAAGTTTCATCACTTAAAATCCAAAAGTATATTTGCAAAACTTGACTTTTCTTGGGGAAAAAATTGTAGTGTCAAATAATTTTTTTAAAGAATAGTTTATTTGAAATCTTGCCACTGAATGCCAGAGAGAAGTTTCACCTGATTTTCTAGTACTTTTCTTTCTATATGATAGTGTGATAAGACATCCATAGTTTTTCCTTTCCTGTATCCTTAAGTTGCTAGGATGATTAAAAATACCTTAGGCTCAGTTGCTATACTGTTCTACAGATTAGGTTTTCTTCCTTTCTGAATTTATTTCATCACTTGTTCTTTACCACCTAGCTTTTATCTTTTATTTAGAATTAATTGATTTTTGTCCTTATTGTTGGTTTTATAAAATCTCCCTAATCTCTTGGGAGTGAAGGAATAAGAATATACTGCTACTCAGCTAACATTCAGTAAGCCCCTACTAGATGCCAGTTTCAGAAAAACCGATTAGTATTCACTTATTTTGCAGTTGTGTCACATGCATATAAATTACTTAATTTGAATCTCATTACAATGCAGTGAAGTGGCCTGGGTTGGTGTTTTATTTTGTGGGTAAAATGTGAATTAGAGGTCTGACGCTCAGAGATTAAATGATTCCACTAATATCATATAGCCAGTCAATAAACAGTTTTTAAATTTGTTCTTTCATCATGCCATTCTTCCCTAAAAATTATAACATGATAGATATTCAGAGATAAAAGAGCCTCAATAATAGACTACTGTTAACCTTGAAAAACAGTTTAAGAAATGGAAGGTCTCTGGAAATCATCACATTAAATCTTTCAGGATTTTATATGAACAAAAATGAGTGGGGGAATAGAAAACAAGAACATTTTATCATTGCTGAAATAATTGTTAATGTAATAATGTACTTGGAATTTAAAAATTTTTTGCAATACAAAAAAGCATAATATAAAACTAGACAAGAAGTTTGAACCTCTGTAGTTTTACAAATTAGAGGAAGTGTTATATCACTTGGTTACTACAATCATGAATAGCAAGCTCACTTCAACTTTTGTATTGTACTCAGAAGATACTAGAGAATTTCTTCCCCAACATTTTCTGAAAATATGATCCTGTGTATATATGAAATTTCCAGGTAATTAATTGTTAAGTATTTTATTCTAGGTTAATGGGAAAGGTTCCTTATGGTGTGTTGATCCAGAATATAAACCCAATCTTATGCAGGCATTGAAAAAGCAACCTTTTCCTTCTCCACAAAGGTAAGAGTTTGCCTTGTACTGACAACAGTGATTTAGAAGATTCATTGTGTGAAGGTTGTGGGTGTAGCTCAAGTGGCAGAGCGAGGCTAGGAGTACAAACCTCAGTACTGACAAAAAAGAATAGAAGATTTATTGTGTGAGATGGAGAAAATAAAGTTTAGGGGTTCTTTTTTCCTAGTTATATAGAGAAATACTTATGGATAACATTAGCCTAAGGCATTTTAATTTGTGTTTGTAGAAAAGATGTGGATAGTTGAGAATACAAATTTATAAGATACTTTTAAAGGTAGTTTGTGATGCTTAATTTGTTTTTTTTTAAATATAAAAAGGTTAATAAAATGAAGTAGTTTTTTTATAGATAAGTTTTGTTTTGTTTTTGTTTTTGCAGTACTGGGGTTTGAACTCAGCCTACACCTTGACCACTCCATCAGCCCTTTTTTTGTGAAGGGTTTTTTCGAGATAGGGTCTTGTTTACTATTTGCCCAGGCTGGCTTTGAACGGTGATCTCCTTATCTCTGCCTCCTGAGTAGCTAGGATTACAAGTGTGAGCCACTGATACCCCAAAAGGTTAATATAATAAATGAAAAATTTCAGACACATGCATGGGGAGAAAGTTACAAAATCTCACTTGCAACAATTACCAATATTTCATATTGTGGTTCATTTGAATTCTTAAAGCATTATTAAGGAAATATAGAAGGGTGATTGTAGCTGAAATATAGTAAAAGTCTGAGAAGGCTAAAGTTGAAATGGCAGTAATCTGTACACTAATTGAGATTTTATGAAGATTAGAATGATCATCATAAAATGAACTACTGTGATTGATTTATCATTAAGAAATGAAACCTATCAAAAAAGTTTCCAGAATCTGTATCCTCATGTGGGAGTTTATTTCTTCTTTATTAATTACTGTTGGTGTTCTCATTGGGTAATAATTTAGAAACATAGAAAACTTTGTTTATGTTCACTTATGTAAACACTTTAAAGATTAGTGGAAGAATTGGCACTATTTGTTGTGAGCTATCACAAATGCATTTTACTGTGCGTTTGGTGATTTTACTGGTGCATTTTTGTTTTTTTTTAGCCTTATTATAACTTTAGTAGTCAAACAAAGGTGATTTATAGTTAAAAGAGTTTAAATAGCATAGAGGTTATAAATCTTTGACTTTAAAACCTTTTGTTGTTTGGCAAAATAATAGTTCCATCTGACATGCTTTTTGTGTCAGACCTTTTGTTATAATTCATAAGTTTGAGGTAGAAAATGAAATATAGTATAAGTAAAAACTGAATAGGAAATAAACTTTTCATTTTTTTCTTTTTTGGTGATATTGGGGATTGAACTCAGGCCCTTCTCCTTGCTAGGCAAGCATTCTACACTTGAGCCACACCCCAAGTTCTTTTTGCTTTTTGTTTTTTTCAGATACTTTTGCTAGGGCCAGTCCAAGACCACAGTCCTCCTACCTCCACTTCCTGAATAGTGTGGTTACAGGCATGTGGCAACTTGCCTCACCTAAAAAAAAAAAAAAAATTTAATTCCATTAATAAAACAGTTTTTTTGTACTATCACAAATTTCAAAGAACAGAATTAGGTTTTTTTCCAAAAACGCTTTAATCTTATAAATAAAAAACAAAACAAAATCAGGAACTTAACTATTTGGCATAATTACTGTACTGTCTTCCTTAAAATACTTGTTTGATAACTGCTTTGATTTCCGTAGTAATAACTATATTAATAGTATATCAAACTTAAATATCTAATTCAAAACCAAATAATGATGCCTTATTCTTATTAGCATAGCAACCCTATGTGAGAAATTTAATTATTCCTATTTTACAGATGAAGAAACTAAAAGATTAATTATTTTGCCTAAGAATGACCAAATAATTGTGATTTAGTCTTGGCCCTTAGGCACTTTCTACTTTGGTAGACTCTTCCTAAACTGAGTATTATTAGCAAAGAAAACAAGGTAAAAATAGTTTGTGTTTTTAGGTACAAATTAACTGTATTTGTAACTAAGTTCTATAAAAAGTGAAAGATTTTTATAAGCATATTTGTATTTTCTCTTTATTTTTTCAGTGGTTCATTATCACCTCACTACTTAAGCTCTGTTCTCAAGCAGAACCAGGTGCGAACCCTCAAAGGTATGTGTGAAGATCAGTCTTTTAAATCATAAAAAGCACAGATCAAAATCTGGATTAAAAAATTTGTTTTCTGGGCTGGGGGTTTGGCTTAGTAGAATGCCTGCCTAGCAAGCACAGGACCCTGAATTTAAACCCCGGTACTGCCTTTGCAAAAAATTATTTTCTAAGTATAAATTGTGTTAATTGTAGAAGATTTGGGAAATAAAGAGTGAAAGTCAGAGTCACATCCCCCACCTTTTTCTTTTTTTTTTTTTTTTTTGCTTGATAGTACTGGGGTTTAAAATAGGGCCTGCACCTTGAGCCACTCCGCCAGCCATTTTTTGTGATGGGATTTTTCTTTTCTTTTTTTTTTTTTTTAATTATTTTATTATTCATATGTGCATCCCCTGTGATGGGATTTTTTGAGATAGGGTCTCTCGAACTATCTGTCTGGGCTGGCTTCAAACTGCAATCCTCCTGATCTCTGTCTGCCTCCTGAGTAGCTAGGATTATAGATGAGAGCCACTGGTGCCCAACTATTCTATTGTTAACATTTTGGTATAATTCTTTTAATATTTATCACATGGGTGAGTAGATGTTTTTCATGCAGATAAATATATGCACACACACATTTTTTTCCTCCAAATATACATTCACGGTGTGTTATACAGTTAGGTCCTCTTTTCATTATTTTTATGTGCATTGTTTCTTTAAAATGGCACTTAATTTCTTGGTAATATCATCAGTATTGTTTTTACCTGGTTTTGTAGGGCCCATAATCTAAGCACAGCTTTACATTTATAAAAAGCGGAGGCGTGAAACAGTATTTTGAGGCATAAAAATTTACTACCACAGCACAGTTAGTTGCAACAGAGATCTACAACCAAGGATGTTATATCCTTGGTTTGCCAGCTGGTCTGAAAAGCATTAAATACTTACCTTTTGACCCTTTACTGAAGAAGTTTGCTATCCCTGGATTACAATATAGTTCAGAATATTTCTTCTGTAGGTTCAATGTGAAGGACTTTAGTTTAGGAAGCTAATAAGTTGAATTTTTTTAGAATTTCTAAAAGCAAATCAAAATTCTTCATTAGTGGGTTTTTTCCCTCAGCTTATAGTTAATTGACAAATTAGTGATATATTCAGGTGAATTTTTCTTGCATTGTTGCTTTGATTCCCAGAAACATTTCTATGATCTTTAAAAATAAAAAATCTCACACTAAAGCCCTTCTGTGTGTTAAAAACACTTTGGCTTCTTTGGAACTATAATAAGCTGAGCCTCAGAAGCATTATGTTCATGTCTGTGAGTAAGGGAGGAAAAGAGTATGAAAAGGCTTTAGAGAACTCTGCAAAGAAGTTCAGTGGATAGAGAATTGGTTTCAGATAATGTTCTGCCTTTACATAAGGCAGCTGTCCATTGTCTTGTTGTGTAAATGTGACCACCTTTTTTACATTAGGTATTGCTAAAGCTCTTTTATCTTTTTATTGTCTCAATAATTTCTGACTCTTACATTCTCAAGTTTAGTTCACATACACATTTTGAGAACCTATCCTTTTTGAATTCTGGGGTTTACTTCAAATCTCTTCTTGCTCTTGTTCCATTCCATCCAATTTGGCTTTTCCTTTGGGGAACATACATTTCCATAAGTCTCTCCCACTAGTTTCAGCCATGGTTTTTCCTAAATAGAGCATACTTTATACATCATCTCTCCAATGCTGCCAATGCCTTACTTCCCCCTATTCCTATATTCAGGAGAATTAGGCCTATTCCCCTAATTAAGATGAAGTAGGTGAGAAGGGTATTTGGCATTTTAGGTTAAAACAACTTGCAGGTCTGTTTGGGAATAGAATACAAAATTCTCATAGGACCTCACAAAAACTTACTTTTATTTGAATCTGGTTATTTTGATCTGTATTCATAAATTTCTGAATAGTTTTAAGCTTTTTTGTATTTCTAGAGAGATGTTTGAAAACCACTAACTTGATTAAACATTCATCTCAAGCAATTACTTAGTTCCTGCATCTTAACCAGGTGTTGTAGTGAGTGCTATGGAATATGCAGAGAAGAAAGACCCAGTCCCTGCTCTCAGAAACATACAGTTTAACTAAAGAAGTCTGGCTGAAATTATGCAGAGTACACTGGGGAAAAGGTAGTGAGTAGCAAAGTAAGCTTAGATATAGGTCAGGAAAAGCCTCTTAGAAAACAAAGTGCCTCAGGCATGAACTGGGCCTCAAAAATTGGGAGGACACTAACCTACAGGAGTATATGTGTGGTGGAGGGCAAGGCAGAGTTACTTGACAGAATCACAGCAGTACAGAAAGTTGTCTGGCAGTACCAGGGAGTTTGTTCAGCATGTTGATGAGTGTAACTGAAGCCTAGGCAGATACAACAGGACCAGGTAGGTGTTGTCATTTAGCATGGACAGGGAAAGGAATCAGGCTTAAGGATGGTTTATTTAGTATAATAAGGAGTTCAAAAGTCTTCCTCTTAACTATAACTTTAGTAAGCATTTAGTGGCTTACTGCAATGCATATGTGCATCATTTCATTCAATCCTTACAACAGCCTTTTCAGGTGTTGTTACTCCTATTTTACAAGTAAGAAGCTGAACTTTGGAGAGACCAAGTAACTTTCTTTTTTTTTTTTTTTTTTTCCCTTTCTTGCCTTTTGATGTTGTCTTTTTTAATGGAAAAATATTACTGATTATAAAATAAATGTTCTTTGTAAAATTACAAACAGTACAGAAATATGTGGGATAGAAGATGAAAGCTTCCCTTCTTATCTTCCAGAAACCACTATTAATGAGCTATATCCTTCTAGAAATTTTTCTTTTTTTTTTTTTCATTTTTCTTTTATTATTCATATGTGCATACAAGGCTTGGTTTATTTCTCCCCCCTGCCCCCACCCCCACCAAGTAACTTTCTGAAGGACACACAACTAGTAAATGGCTAGAGGGATTCACATCCAGAGTTCTAATTTCAAAGCCTGTGCTCCTAAGTGAGGCACTGGAGCTTTAACTAATGAGGTGACATTATCAGTTTTATGTTCTATAAACATTGCTGAAGTATAATGCTGGGCTCCAGTATTAAAGCTTTTGCATTCATCTGTCATTTTATAGAATCATCTTTTCTAGTCATTAAATTAAGTCTACCTTTAGACACAGATTAATAGCAGAGATTTAGGTTTAGGAATTCCAGAAACCACTATCAGCCCAAACTGGAGCAGCAATTTATTTAACGCATAGCTCTCTTTTATTCAACTTATGCTAATTTTATGTGCCAATATCAGTGTTACAGTATTGTATAACAGGTAGCAGGAGACACAGGATCTTCATACTAAGGTAGCAAAACAAAACTTTTCTTACTGGTTAAGATTTTGGCTTGGTGTGTGTTTGTTTGGAGTAAATTCATGTGTTTAAAACTTTTACTGAGCTATACCAAGACAGTGTTCTAGGCACCACAGTATATTGATAACAGACAAAAATAGAACTCATTCTAGTAAGTTTTAGTTTTTATTATACTAAGACACCTAGTATATTGCAAAGAAATATAAAATTTGCAGTTGGTGGTGAAATTAGAGGCTAAGTGCAAATCTAAATTCAAATTTAAGGTTACAAATTAGCAGAATTTGTTCTGTTATTAAAATGAAAGTATATCAGTGGGCCAGATAAATAAACGTATTGGTACTTTTATTGCAATTGCTGTCCTTCTTAGAAAATTATAAGAGACATCTTCTACATTTGAATGCCTTATAAATGTGTGTTAGTTTTGATAGAGGCAATAAATTTTTTCATAGTGATTACTGAGTTTATAACCATTTAAATTCTGCTTCTACAGTTCTCATATCATTTCTTAAGCACATGAACTGAGGATCAGACAACAAAGACATTTGTCTTATACCTTAACTTTTACAGGGCTAAAACTGATGTATCAACTTTTTTGCTCAGTTATTGCTAATAATTTCCCAGGATCAAAGCTAAGGAATATAAATCAGGAGATAGAAATCAACAATTTTTTGGTACATCTTTATTTAAATCAGTAAATAATTAGTAGTATGTTTTGAATTATCAGAATTTTGGTTCCCAATGAACTGGTTATGTTAGGTAATATAGTGTTGCTTTAAAAAAAATAGAACCACTTCTAAAATAGCATGAGCACTTTCAGTAGAATTTGGTTATAATAAATTTAGCTGTAATTCACTACAGGAAATACATTGAAGGAGTTTTCCTGTCATTCTATTGTTATAGAAACAGTACTTAGTTTTCTTATCACTTTCCTTTTTTTGGGGAGCGGGGAAGGGATGTGGTACTGGAGTTTAAACTCAGGGGTTCATGCTTGCTAGGCAGGGGCTCTGCTGCCTAAACCATGTCTCCAGCCCTTTTTGCTCTGGTTATATTTTAAGATAGCGTGTCTCTTTTTGCCCAGGCCAGCCTAAACCACTATCTTCTTGTTTTTTAGGCTTCCCACTGTAGCTCAGATGACAGGCGCTGGCCACCACACCCAGCTTTTTCCATTGCATAGAAAAAGATCCCATCTCTGAGATGGGATCTCGTGAACATTTTTTGGCCCTGGCTGGCCTTGAACTGTGATCCTCTCAATCTTAGCCTCCCAAGTGACTAGGATTACAGACTTAACCACCACCAGCTTCTTATCACTTTGAAAAATTCAGAAACTAGGAAATGAAATGGTATTCATGTAGCTTTCTTTGATTGTCAGGATAAATCTCTTACCAGTTTTAGGTATTATGTTTCAGAAGTATGTTCCTTGAGTTGTAATAAAGTTTGTTATTAGAAGTCTCATTTGACATACATTACCTTTTTTTTTTTTTTTTTTTTTTTTATTTGCAGTGCTGGGGCTTGAACTCAGGGCCAACACCTTGAGCCACTCCACCAGCCCTTTTTTGTGAAGGGTTTTTTCACGATAGAGTCTTGTGAACTATTTGCCCAGTTTGGCTTCGAACCTCGATCCTCCTAAGTAGCTAGGATTATAGGTATGAGCCACCAGTGCCCAGCTTCCTTAACTTTTTTAATAAGAAAAATTTTACATGTATTTCATTTATAAGACAAAAGCTAGAGTCTCTTTATCATCACCTCCCTTTTTTATAAAATTGGAAGCAAGGTAGAGTCTCTCTTACAAAAAGAAAAATTATTTCATGGAATAGGAATATTTCTGCTAGGACTAATGCCATGCAATTTGTGCCCTGTGCCAAGACACTTGACTGGACTGTGACTGGGGTCTGAAATCCAGTCCACACACCACTCTTCTAACTATGTGCCTTGAATAGAGAAACATTCACCAGAAGCACAGGTTGTTCTTTTCCTAGTTCACAGAGAGACAATATGACAATATTGGCCCACAGCTGAATACTTTTTTATCAAAGCCATGTAAAAATACTGGACTCTCATGAAATTGTCTCAGGTCTCATTCTAAAAGACAGGAATTGGAGAAGCCTGTTTTGCCAAACCTCTTGGCTATGATGTATGGGGCATCATTGATTTAAATCCCTTTGTACTTGCTTTTCTTTCTATCTAAAATGCTCTTCATTCTGATGCCTCACCTCCCTGAGATCTTGTCCCAACTGTTACCTTCTCCTTGAGGCCTTTCCTGACTTGTATATTTAAAATCTCAGCTACCTCCCCCATTACTTTCTATTTGTCTTCCCTCTTAAATTTTCTTCCCTAGTGCTTATCACTATCATAATGCATTTCAGTTATTTCTTTGTGTTCTCAGAGGTTAGAGATTTTCCTGGGTTTTTTTGTTGCTGTATTTTTACGGCCTGGAATGATGTCGGGCTCTGGTAGGACATTCAGTTTATTGAAAGAATAACAGAATAGAGAATGTCCAGCATATGCTGTTACTTCCTACAAAATTTCCCATTCTAATGATGGATGTTTAGTAAGTATTAAGGGATGCTGATAAGGATATTATTTATTGAAGGCCTGCATTCTAGAGCCAGACTGCTGAGGTTTAAATCCCCTTCCATTTTTAGAGACCCCTCTGTATCTTATTTTCTCATCTTTTTAATTTTTTGAGATAAGTTCTCTCTATGTAGCTCAGGCTGGCTTCAAACATAAAATCCTTCCTCCACCTCCCAAGTGCTGTGATTATAGGCATGTATCACCACCCTGGTTCTGTTTTCTCTTCTCCCTACCTCCCAACTACCTTTGCCAATCCTGGGGATTGAACTCAAAGTCTCACACTTGATAGACAAGCACACTGCCAAAGCACTTTTTGCTTTAGTTTGTTTTTCAGATAGTGTCTCTTGTTAACTTTGTCCAGGCTAGCCTTGGACCACAATCTTCTATCTCCATCTCCAAATTAGCTGGGATTGCAAGTGTAAGCCACCAGGCCTGATCCTGTTTTCTCATCTTTAAAATGGAAATATTCATGGTACCCACATCATAAAGTTAGGAGGTTTGGATGAGCTAATAGGTACTTAGAACCTACTCAGTCCATTGAAGTATTCAATGTTAGTGACTAATTTGGTGTTAATTACTTCAATCTAAAGAAAGGAGGGCTAGGATGTAACATTATTTACACATTTATCAAGAGCATACTATTATTCCAGTTATAATGGTAACACAAAAGATAAGACATTGGTCCTACACTTAGTAGCTGACCACCTGATTGAGGTAACATTGATAGGCCTTGTGTTTCATGAGGTCACATTTTATTCCAGGGACAAAAACTGTAGTATTGTGTATCTCTCATAGTAGACAGACAGTTTGAGACAGTGTCTCACAATGTAGTCCAGACTGGCCCTCAAACTTGCTGCATAGCTCAGACTGACCTTGAATTAACAAGCCTCTGCAGTGCTAGGATCACAGGCATGAACCGTGATACCCAGCATGAGAGATGTACTTGAGCTTATTAATTTTAAACTCAACATTATCTAACTTAAGAGAATTTGTAGTCTACTTGGGGAAAACAAGTCAGTATTTTCATGGCTTATTATTTATAAAAAACATTTTATATTGCAAGTAAATTGGAAAACTTTGTGGCATGAAATTTTCCAACTTTAAGGTATATATGGATAGAAGACTTCATATCTGGATCTTATTTTAATTCATCTTTTAAACTAAAATTTATAAACATTTTCTGACTTCCCTCTTGTACCCTATACCATTATACTTTTTTCTTAATTATTCACAGAAGTATATCACTAGATGCAGAAGAACTTATATAAGTAGATAGGGGAGCATAATGACTATCTGTAGTAGATTCTGCTCACTTTACTGGCTTTTTAAGGCTCATTTCCCTTATGGAATATCCATAATTCTGTCTGGTCTCATGAATATGACTTATTTATTTAATCCCTCTGAGGCTAGGATTACACATATCTCCTACCACACCCAGCATTCATTTACCATTTATAGATTCAGGTGGCCTCAGAGGGCCATTACATTTTTAACCCTGCAACTAATGTGTAATTATTGTAGTTATTTCAGAACTGTACATAGAATGTAAGCATAGATAAGGATATTATTCAAGGTAAAAATGCTAAAAATTGCTGATTTAGTTTAGGGGCAAACCTTTTGAAATACAGTTCAAGTGTTTGTTTTCATTTTGAATAAAGAAAACTTTCATTATCTCTAGTATCTCTCCATTCCTTTTTACACAGTACTGTTCACAAAATTGTTCCATAATTTTAAGTGAACAAAAGCAGGTTGCAAAATAAAAATGTATATCATCTGATTTTTGTTTGACATGTTTATGCTTTTTTTTTTTTAAGTAGGAGAATGTACACCAAAATCTGAATGCATGTTATCTTTTGAGTATGTGCAATACTTACAAAAGCCTATCTTATAAAGAACATTAATGTTACCACTCTTTTCCCTTTTCAGAATCTGATATTGATGCTGCCACTGCAATGATACTTTTAAATACTTCTATAGAACAAGAGATTTTAGAATGTAAGCAATCATGCTTTTCTTTTTAACATACATTTTTGTGAGTGCCTTTTAAAATTTAACTTAGAATATAAAACGTTTAAATGTCATGACAATTACTTTTCTACCACTAAATTGTGTTTTAATCTGAATAACTTAGTTTCTGTTTTACTATATTTTTACTAATTTATATGAGTAATTGACATTGAAGTTAATGCTGTGAGAGATTTTTTTCCGAGTAACCAAGAAATGGAGAAAAAACAGCACACTAAAAAAATAAGCTTGAAGAGTTATAGATGAGGAAATATAAGAAAGTATATTATAACATGGAATAGGAAAAACTTTGTGATACAGAATATAAAATCTGTAAAGGAAAAGATGGGTAAATTTAATAAAACGTCAAAATTTTTAAATTCTGACAAGAGAAGACACGTTTAAGAAAAATAACATAAGTGGTTGTGGATGTAACTTAGTATTTGCCTAGCAAGTTCAATCACCAGCCCCACCACCCCCCCCAAAAAAGTGGAAAAATAGCACAATACTGGGAGAATTTTTCACCTGTATTTAATAGGCAAAAGGTTAATATTGAATCTTTATAAAAGAATCTTACAAGTAAGAAATAAGAAAAAAGTTCACAAAAGTCAGCAAAGTATATGAATAGGCAAGTCTCAGGAAGAAATTGCATGCAGTACATGTGGAAAGATACGCAGCTTCTCTAAAGATTGGGGAAATACAAAATAAAACAATTTTGAAATAGTATTTTTTGACTAGGGAATTGTAAGACATTTTAAATAACTGATAATGTGGAAATAGATTTTGCCATCTGCTGTTGGGTATTAATTGGTAAAGTCATTTTAGAGAACATTGGGGAATATCAATTATAATTTATAATATATAGATTCTTTTCCTTAGCAACTCTTATTTCTTGGTATCCCTCCTAGAAAATTATTTGCATATATATGTGAGGAAAAAAGCATCCAGAAGAATTTTCATTGCAGCATTATTTGTACTGGTGAAAAATTGAGAATAACTTAAGTATCAACAAAGTGATGGTTAGCTAAAACAGTGGTATATTCATACTGAGGCATTCTGTACAAATAGTTCATAATAATTATGTTCCATGGAAAGGTCAAGACTTATTTTTAAATGGTTTAAAAGTGTTTCAGATTAGTGCATACAGAATAATATGATCTGGGTTAAAAAAAAGAAAAACACTACTAAAACATTACTAATGTAAAGCACTTACTGCTCAAGAGTGATACAGTAGTTTTCAGGGTGTTCTACATTTTGTGATCAAAGGCATTTGACCTATTGATAGTTCTGTTTTCCACAGGTGAGAAGCCTCTTCCTCTTAAAACATCATTGCAGAAAAAGAGGAATTATAACAATGCATTCCTCAGTGCTATACGATTACAAGAGGGTGATTCTTTAGCCACCAGCATTGATCCAAAAGAAGATCACAATTATAGTGCAAGTAGCATGACAGCCCAGCGCTGTGCATCCAGGTCTAGTGTGTCCTCCCTGTCTTCTGTGGAGGAGGTGTATGAATTTATCCCAAAGAGTAGCCATGTGGGAAGTGATGGCAGTGAAGGATTTCACAGTGAAGAAGACACAGATGTTGATTATGAAGATGATCCTCTTGGAGACAGTGGCTATGCAGATAACTCTCCAAAAGGGCAGCCAGGCAAAAAGATACGAAAACAGTCACATCAAGAAATTGATGAGGAGCTCAAAGAAGCAGCTGGATCTCTACTCCACCTTGCTGGAATTCGTACATGCCTGGGTTCCCTAATAAGTACTGCAAAGACACAAAGTCAAAAGCAACGGAAAAAATAGAAAAACGTATTAGTGTGAAGTTATTTTAATGTGTGGCAGTACTCTCCTACTTCATTCTTTACAAGGGATATCAAAGCCATAATGCACTTCTTTAGCTTTAGGGTGGGGAAGTGTGTCAATTGTTTCTTTGAAAACATTTTTGATTGCTTTTTTTTCTTTTTGTAATTAAACAGTTGTTAGGATCATGCCTAATCGTAAATAAGTGATATAAAGGCCTAAAAGCATAATTTTTGTGATAAGTGTCTCCAAGATTTAGAAATTTTTATAAGATAAAATCCCCAGTCTCTGTCTTAAACTTGTAGGAAAAGTCTCTATTAATGTGTCACAATGTAAGATTTGGCAGTTCTGTAACTTTTTAAACTTTCCTTTCCAAACTGTAATTAACTGTAGTTACTGATATAGCTGAAAATTTTGCTGATATCGTTTTCTTATATTTGTTTCCTGACACAAAATCTAGTAAGGTAAGATTTGGAATTTTTATTTTGTCTTATTTTTTATTGTGGCATGAGCAAAGTCAAATATAAATTGGAAAAAATCCTAGATGTCTAGAAAGTTCTTTTTGGTTACATAGATAGGGGATACACCAGAGTTCTAATATTTAGAAAAGGCAATTTGAGGATGTGATTTAATTTAAGAAGACTCTTAATTCCTATTACAATACTATCTTTGAAATTTTTTTACTTCATAGATAATGCATAGCATCCATTGGGGCCTTTTATTCTTTCCCAAAGTGCTTTTCAGCCATTGTTTAAGTTTTAGCCATTAACTGTCTTTGTTGAGTAGAAATTATCCAATAAGAGGATATATAGCCATAGGGAGTATTATGGAGTAACAACCATTTTGACATACTTTTGCAATAAGATTCCTTTGTTTCACCCCCATCCCTTCCCAGTATTGGGGATTGAACTCAGGGCCTCTCCACACTTGGTAGGTAAGTGCTCTACCACTTGAGCCATGCCCCCCAACTCTTTTTTCATTTCTAAATAAACTATATTCTGAGAGTCTTGTAATAGGAATAGAGTATAATAAAGCATTTGAATATCTATTGCTGTGTCATCATAAGTAAAGGTAGGTCATTGAGTAAAAACCTTCTTTCCAAGCTTTATATGAATTAAATTGTATGTATCCCAGTACCGCCAAAAAAATTGGAATATATGCTGAATTAAATTTTAAAAGATTTAATGAAATGATACAAAATGCCTTCAGGGATTTCAAAACATGTAAAATTAGATCTTATACAAACCTTTTTCAGAAGGCAATGTAATACCTATATGTGCCATTAATCCTTGCTAAAAGATTTTATGTTACTATTACAAAAGTGCATTGACTAAGATGTTTTAAGTATTTGAACAAATCTGCTTGCATGAGGCAGTTTTCATATCACTTACATTGTTGAACTATATTACTCAGAAAGAACAAGGGATTAATACCATACTTTACAATGGTGGGAACAACTTTTTAAAAGTTTAATCTTCTCCCATGATACATCCTATATCATAAACAATTTCCCTTTGTCTTCATTTTTTTTCATAATTTATATACATTTATGTATAAATGAACTCACACAGACAGGCTCATGATGTTAATTTTCTGCTTTCAATTATTTTTATGACTATAAAACTTTTTCTTTTTTTTTTTAAAGAGACAAGTGTTTAACTTCTAAATTTTGGTGGGGACAAAATTGTCAGATGAAAAGAATGATAACAAAAGCATCTTTTTTAATTGATAAGACTTTAAGCCAGGGATAACAGCATGAATATTCTTTGCCCTGTTTCCATGTTAATTGTAATTGAATCTGGATAGCCACATTAATGGAATTGATTCTGCTAAAATAAATTTTTAAGTTGTTGGTAATGCAAGGTGAGGTATTTGGAATTTTTCTTCCTCATAAATGGAAAGTGGCTAAATATAGTTAGCTTTAAAACACCAAAAAAGTTTTTACCACAGTGTAAATAGTAAAGAGATCACAAAAAATTGGTACAAAAACAGTATTTTTAAGCATTTATTATGGCCTACTGTATAAACCTTAGTAACAGTGGTTTTGGTGGCTGCTGCTCTTTTTTTTTTTTTTTTTTTTTTGCAGTTTTGGGGCTTGAACCCAGAACCTTGTACATGCAGCCCCAGCCCAGAAACAGTAATTCATATATTTTGGTTCCATTTTATTTTGTTTTGCTGAAATTCTGTACCATGAGTGTTCTTTCTGGTTCTTGTCCAGATAATTTCTCTTTGTAAGTTAAGATAAATAATCTAAGATAAGGAAGGGGGTACAGTTATTCTCAGCTCTAATAGAATCTGCAAAGATTTTTGTCAAATATATACAACAATAGCTCTTTAAATACTTTGATTTTTCTCACTGTACTCCTCTCACAAATATAAATGTTTAAGTTGCAGTCATTATTAGTAAGAACATTAAATACCGTGCACGAAAAGTTAATGGAGAAGTTACACATCTTATAGTTAATTCTTGCATAGAATTCAGTGCATCACTTTCCATTTGCTAATATACCAAGGCAGTTAATTTCAAGGGGAAGAATCTTTTTAATTGTGGTCCCCTTATTATGACTTCCATAGAGACAATGATCTCATTCCTCAGGTGTGTTAAGATAGAAACATGGCTCATAACCACCCAATTAAGGAAAGTCATTCTAAGTCCTATGGACTGAGATTGTAGTCCTGATAATTAACAAATTTTGCTGTGATGAAAACAACTTGAAGACATAGAGGTTACATATTTTTTAGCATATTTTAAAACTGATTTAACAATTTGCCTTACATGAAAATAATACAAATTTTGTTGCAACCAATTCCAACTTTTTTGTCTCAGCACGATTAATCTTCATTCTTGCATCCCCAAAAGAATCAGTGTTTCTTTAATACAAATTTGTGAAGTTTATTTGTGCAATATATTACCAAATTAGTTAAGGTTTTACTTTTCAAATTGAAAGAACAAGACATTACCTGTATTAGTGGAAAAGCTAACTGTTGGTGGATCGCCTCCCTGTTTCCACCTTGGAACCTTTCCTGTCCTCAGCCAGCATGACTTCTCTTAACTTAGATTCTCTTGTACATTGGAAGGTTTTGTACATACACATATATATGTGTTTTTTCTTTTGCTACTTTCTGAGGCATTAGGTAAAGGGTTCATTCTAGACAGTCAGTTAAATATACCTTAGTATACATTCAAAGCTAGAGAAAGTGTTAAGAAGGGAATGTATGTGTCTTGATAGATCAGGAGTCCTTTCCCAGCAATTTAGGCAACAGATGTGAATACTTCACTAAGCTGTAAAGACTATTGTCTTAAATACTACAATAACTTACCACCCCTTTGTGGAGACTATAGCATTTAATTAAAATACTTTGAGGCTTTCTGGTTTATATATAGTTTATAGATTTTTGTGGGTTTGAAATGTGTAAGCGTTGATTTAAACAAAGTTTATATCAATGTAAATGATGTAGTGAAAATATTTATTGAAAGGCAAAATAAAAGTATTTTAATGTTATACCTGCCATTTTTCTTAAAGTACATTCTTTGCATCTAACTGCCAGTGCCATTGTCAAAACTTGTTTTTAAAATTGTACATTTTTTAAACAAAGTGCTTAATTTTAAAGTATTATGTTGCCATCATATAGTGTATAAAATGTATAATTGCCAGTTCATTGTAACTGTTATTTATTTTTAAGTGAAAGTATAAGAATGCTTCTGATTCAAGAAATTCGTTATTAAACTGTTTCCTCTTTTCTGATGTAGCATAAAAACTGTCCTGAGTTGAACTGCCAGGAAATGACCAGTGAACCACTTCTCAGATGCCAGTCTTTGCTCAGATTAAAACCAATTTACAAATGTTTAGTTTTTCTATCTAATCTCTGATTATTAAAATGTTTATAAAGTTTATTTTTACCAAAGAGATGCAATTCATTATGATAAAGTATTGCAGAATAAACATTGTTTTATAACACATGCTTTTCTGTTCTTTTGTGGGAGGTATTACAGATGTGTACTTAAGGTACCCATACACTTTCTTTCCATTGTATTACAAAGTTGGAATTGTACGAATGAAAATGTTCCAATTTCAAGTTTTTAAAATCTGTTCTTTCATTTAGCTTTTTTGAGGCAGCTGGTCTCAAACTGGTAATCCCTCAGCCTCCCAAGTGCTAGGATTATAGGTGTGCACCACCACACCAGATTAAAGTACTGTTTTACTCCATTTTTAGACATCATCCTAATTATTGAAAGCTACAGTTGTTAATTAAATAGTTCTCTTCAAGTTTAGCTTTTTCCTATTTTTTTACATAGCATATATATGAGATATTTTGAAATACAGGAATAGAGTATGAAATTAAGATTATTTCTGTAGAGGAGACCAAGGGAGGAAATAAAGAAGGAAAGGAAGATAGTGAATAATAATGAAGTACATTCATCTGTGTAGGAACAGGACACCAGAAATCACGCTGAAAACTTCACACAGGATGGGGAAAAAGGGCAAGGAAGTGCAGTGGAGAGGGGTTACACTGACTTAAGATTAATGCAGGTACAGGTATAATACCAAGGCAAAAATTCCAGTGAACAACAGACACCTAGATGAAGGACAAGAATGAAAAAAAGGGTTACACTAATGGGAAGGTAAAAGAAAGGTGAATATTGGTGATGTGCTTTCTGCACAAAAATGAATACAGAATTTTTAGACCTGATGTACACACCATAAGAAGAGGACTAAGGTAGAAAGGAGAAAAATGGAGGGAATGAACGAGTTCAGGATATTTTATATATATATATTATATAAAATATTTATATATTATTATATATTATAATATATATGTATTATATATATAAATATACTTTATATATATATATTATATATAATACATGGAAATGTCATAGATATCTTAAATTAAAATGTCTCAAAATGGAGGACAGACAGGTGAAACAGGTCCTGTCTGGGGTTTGGCACCAGTGGGAGGGGGGAGGATATAAGGAAAGGGTTAGGAGAGTGAATGTGGTAGAAATATGTACTCATGTATGAAAAATAGAAAAATGAAGCCTGTTGAAACTATTCCAGGGATGGGGGAGAATGAATGATGGAGGGGGTGAATTTGACTAATACATAGTAAGAACTTTTATAAATGCCACAATGTAACCCAGGTAAAACAATAATATAATTTTTAAAAAATAAGTCATGTTCAAAAATAACCAGTAAGACCATGTATTTGAAAATTGGGACATCCATTATAAAATGTAATGAGCTAGTCAGTCTCTTGTGGCTCACGCCTGTAATCTCAGAAGGCAGAGATCAGGAGAAATGAGGTTCAGAGCCTCGCCAGGCAAATAGTCCATGAGACCATATCAAAACAAAAAAGGACTGGTGGAGTGGCTCAAGTGGTAGAGCACCTTCCTAGCAAGTTTGAGGCCCTGAGTTCAAATCCCAAGTACACCAAAAAAAGTAATCTATAAGCAACATTTTGATCTTAAGTTTCCAACCTCTTTGATCTCATAATTTAAACGGTGTCTTCTGTATGGAGGTACTTATTTGAAATGAGTCAGATGAGACAGCCATGTTGATTTTAAACTACCACCACTCTACCTACACCTTCTGGTTCATCCCTTTGATGATAATTTGTCTTCTTTTTTTCTTCTTTTTTGGTCGTACTGGGGTTTTGAACTCATGACCTTGTCTTATTCATCCCTTTAAAATATAGTCATTTAAAAATTGTAACTATTTGGGGATTTTGGAGGAGTTTTTTTTGGCAGTACTGGGGTTGGGTGTTTTGGCAGTACTCTTGCTAGACAGGCACTTTTACCACTTGAGCCACTCCTCCAGCCCCAGGGATCATGCACTTGTTTGCTGAAAGTTTTATTCTTACTGTTGTACTTTTGTACTATTGTACTTTTCTACCTTACCCTTGTTTGGAAGAGGAAAAATTATGTAATATTTTTAGAAAAATAACCTTTTTAAAACTGGGTTAAAACACATTATAATGGTCAGGTTAGTGAATTTTATGTTCTGTATAATTTTACCACAACTGGAAATGAGTTATCAAGCCATGAAAAGACATGAAGGAAACATGAATGCATATTACGAAGACAAACCAATCTAAAAAGTCTATATACATTGTGATTCCAACAGTATGACATTCTGGGAGAAGCAAAACCTTGGAGATGGCAAAAAAGGTCAGTTGTTGCTAGTAGTTTGAGGGTGGGGAGAGGAAGGGATGAACAGGTGGAGCACAGGATTTTCAGGACAGTGAAACTATCCTATTATACTCTAATGGTGAGTACATGTCATACATTTGTCAAAACCCACAGAGCATGCCAGACAGAGTGAACCCTGATGTAAACTATGGGTTTTAATTAATAATGTATTAATATTGGCTCACTGGTTGTAACAAATGTATCACAAATTAATGCAAGACAATAATAAGAGAAACCCTGGTGAAGTAGGAACAGGAAGAGAATAGACAGGAACTCTGTTCTTTTCACTCAGTTTTTCCATAAACCTAAAAAACAGTCAATACAAAAACCAGTCAACTAATAGAGATCCCAATGGCCAAAGCTGGAACAATTGAGCACCAG